GTGTGTGTGTGTGTGTGTGGGTGTGTGTGTGTGTGTGTGTGTGTGTGTAACCAAGTTAAATGATCTGTCTGACTCTGGCTCATTATTAACTATACACACTTCCTGCTGTGCTTTTTGTGACTTGCCCTGAACAAGGAAGGGTCACACTGCCCCCTGCAGGTGCTGTGTGTAACAACAGCCTGTGGGTGGATGATTTGTGTTAGGGGTCTGCAACTTTTGTGATAAAGAAGCTCTCTGATCACCTCGCTCAGATAATATAGCCCTCTGACAAATTATTTTAGTAATTATGTAGATTCTTGGATAAATAGTTAGTTGTTTAATTTACTGTACTATATTATTTGCAAACTCTCAAATAGTATTATTACCTAATTTTAAGTTTATGATGGTTGATATGATAATTCGTTTTAGAATATGTTGACCTTAGAGGTATGATTGTAGATATTTGTATATGTTTATATGTATCATTGTAATTTGAGATTGTCATTTGTTGTTCTATTTGTGTTCTTTTGTTCTGTATGTTCAGTAGTTCAATAAAGTTAAAAAAAAAAAAACTTTTGTGATAAAGAGCCATTTTGCCACTTTGCTGACTAATCATGATATGGCCAGAGCCACAAAACCAGCTACAACTGTGTGCTGTCAACTGGTGGCTCGTGGACCATTACAAGTTTGTTGGAGATGGCTTTTTCGTCCACTGGGGGTGAAATTATAAAATTTAAAATGTCTATCTATTATTAACATTTATTGATATTTTTACATTTTATTACAAAAAAGACCAGGTTCATATAAAGAAATAAAAAATGTAGATTTTTTAATTTTTTATTTATAAAAATTAAAACACTGAACTCTGCAGGACGATGTGAGTTCTCTTAATTGTTTAAGAATTGAGTATCCCACTTAAAGCATAAAGTTAAAGACAATATAAAATTTGGTCTGTTTGTTGGATATCCAGTTACATTTTTAAAGAAAAATAAATACAGTAGTCCCTCGCTACTTTGCGGTTCGTTTGTCGTGGACTCACTCTATCGAGGTTTTTCAAAATAAGATTGGACATGACACACGATCGGCTGATTGATGGATGATCCGCACGATCGACATGGAATTTTTTTTTTAAATAAGTTATTTAAAATTATTTAGCACCTTTTGTGCAGCCCATAATGCTGCAGGATAAACTTCCTGCTGCAGCTGATCTGCTGTTCTCGTGCAGAACGGCGAAGTGGGCGTGGCCAAGAGCGCTTGCAGGTGGCAAAGAGCAGAGGAGGCAGGGAGCTGAAATCATGACATGCTGTGCTCTTTCAGAGCGATTAACGTTTAGAAACATCGTTTAGAATATTGCACGAGTGTGAGAAGGGTTTTAAATGCCTTAAAATATATATATACTAAAATAAACTACTACTTAATTCTTGTACTACTATTCCTACTTTGCGGTTTTTCACTTATCGTAGGTCTTCAGGGTACAGATCCCCCACAATAATCGAGGACTACTGTACTTTGACTGTTTTTTTGTGTTTTATTCTTAGTGTTATCAAGATATTCTAAAACATTCTGGTGGTTTTGAGAGAAACATCACGCTGAGAGTCTGGAAGTTAACTTCAAGTGGCTGACAAACTACTAGCACGATGTAGTCCACATGTTTTATGCTGTGTATTTGTACTATTCTGCTGGTGTATTCAGTGCTGTTCTGTATTCAGTCGCTGCTGTTACACTTGAATTTCCCATCCGTGGAACAATAAAAGCTGTTTCTATTCTATTCTATTCTATTCTATTCTATTCTATTCTTCACATGTTTGAAAATGACAGGAAATCTGCTAAAAGTAGCCATTTTCATTGTTGGCAATAATTTCAATAAAATTCAGTTTTATTGTAGTTTTGGTCAAAGCCAGAAAGAGCCGCTGCCGAGGCACCAAAGAGCCACATGTAGCCCCAGAGCCGCAGGTTGCAGACCCCACATAGAAGGTTGGAGTAAGGTGGTGCATGAAAATACAACACTTTCATGTGAGTTTCAAGGTCCTGGGATTTATCTACTGGCAACTTGGGTGGAGCTGAAATATCCTGCATAAAAAACGGACTTTTTGAGCCTTTCGAGGCACTTACTCTGGAAATATGTGACTTTTAGGTTGAATTGCAAATAGAGAATCATCATTTTTGCAGGATCTTCTTTTGCTTGTTTGATTTTGTACTTTTAGGAAAAAAATTGCAAACATGCCACAACCTATCCAATCCAGGGTTTGTTTGTCCCCTCTGGTTTGAGAACACCTTGAGATCCCCCAGTAAGAACTGGAGAGTGTCACTGGTGTACAGAGAGGTCTGGCTTTTCCTCCTGGACCTGTTGCCTCTAAAACCAACTACAGACGAGTCAAAGAAAGTAGACAGGTTAATAAAAAAGTGGTTTTAGGATTAGTCTAGGAGTGGATTTGATCTTTTTAACCAAGAAAGATCAATTAAATGTCAAATTATTTATAATAAATATGGATCTGTTGAAAACAGTTCAGAACAATTAATTTGCACCAGTTATCTTCTGCTGGTTTTCATGATGTCTGTCTGTCCTTCAGGTGTGGAGTCTGGCTTCGTCACGCTGCCCCGTCTTTCCCGCTCTGAGCGCCAGCAGTCATCCGTCTCCATCCCCGCCCCGACCAACATTCACCGAGGCTCTCTGACCGACCCATCTGATGCCATTTTGTTCAGCGGCTCCACCTCGATGGTGACCTCCAAGCCCAAACACACAGCATACTCCGACTCCCTCCCTTCCCTCGCCTCCCTGGACACCTTCACCTTTGACCTGGGCCCCTCTCTCCTGAGCGAGGTGTTCAGCCTGATTGACGGCCACTCAGATGAGTGCCTTCCCAAATCAGAAAATGAAGAGGAGGAGGAGTTCAGGCCGACCAGTGAAGGATCGGAGACGGGCTCGGCTACTCTCTCATACGTGGATTCCTTGCTGAGGGAGGACTGTAGGAGCGGGAAGAGCCCACCTGCAAATGACTTTGAAGAGGCTGAAATTGTGCCGAAGATGAACAGAGTTGAGTTCTCCGGTAAAGTCCCAGATGTGTTAATGGGGTCTCGTGTAGGGATAAGGATGGAGAGCGAGCGGTTCCAGAGCGCTACAGATGTGCTCACGTGTCCCTACGACGTCAGCTTCTTAAAGAGACACAACGGCATGGAGTGTGGAGAGCCGGAGCTGGTCATCATGAGCCAGCCAAAGAAAAAACCGTCCTACAGTTTCATGGAAGACGAGGATGAAATCAAAGTCTGACGCAAACAAATCCAAGAACTCTGTTTATTGGGTGAATTATTCCTTTAAAATTCAAACCCAACTACCGTATTTTTCGCTGTATAAGTTGTGTTTTTTTTGCATAATTTACATGACCGGTGACTTATAGGCCAAAGCGACGTATTTATGTTTTTTTCCATATTGATAAACCAATTTTTAGCTGAGATATGACTGATACAACTGTCAAATCAGCTTCATTTTGCTGCGCCCCCCCCCCCCCCCGGAGAAATGCAGCTTATTTGACCATTAAAGTGCATTTATTGAGTAAAAGTTCAACTGAGACACCTTTTACTATAATGTTGAACAAACAAATAATTGTTTTTAGGTGGTTTTCTTGTTAAATTTTGAAGAAATGAGCTGCAATGTGTTCCTCTGTGCATTCCTACTTCCACAAATTGGGTTTTGCAATGCAGCTGATTTGACCGTCAAAGTTCATTTATTAAGGAAAAGTTGGGCTGAGACACACCTTTACTATAATTGTGAGCAAACAAATAATTGTTTTTAAGTGTTAATCTGTTAAATTCTTCTTCAAGTCCTCCCGTGCGCACTCCTGCGGCCACCATTTGGCAGCCAATCGATTTTTGGCACAACACCGGCCCACATTTCCTGGTTGTCAGCGGTGACGCATAATAGATGCGACGAATACAGCAAAGCACATATTTATGTATTTTTCCACTTTATTAGATATATTTGGACTGGTGCAACTTATAGGGTGGTGCGACGTGTAAGGTGGAAAATACGGTAATGACTAACAGGAGGGCTCTGTTAATGTGGTGACCATGTACAGACATGATTCCAGTACTTTTCTTCTTCTTTTTCATGCCAGTCTGCTTTGAGGATGTAGCTCGGATGCAAATCTTTTTGCTGAATGTTTCAAAAGAGGAAGAAAAGTGTCTGCCTTGAACAGAATGGAGGGACGGAAAGTGAAGACATGCCAGAGAAAGTAAAGATTGCTTTAAGGGAAACAAAGACTTAGCCTATCGTTTACGCGCTTCCTCTTGTTGCAAGGGGACAGTTTCTGCATTGCTAATGAGAACAAAGGGAGGAAGTCCAGAGAGGAACCATGCTGCAACTTTCTGGCTTCACTTTATACTCAGGATTATAACATCAGGAAGGGGAAAGGGGAGTGGAAGCCATAACTTGTATAGTACCAGTTTCACCAAATAAAGCCGAGGAAAACAGTAAAATTCACTACATGAACTAAAGGAGTATGAGAAGTATTGTTTCTTTTGCAAAATGAGACAAAAGCCTGATTTATAGTTTATGCTGCAGACTTTTAACATGCACCTTTTGAATGATGACGCCTTGTATTTTCTTTTATAAAAGAATATTATTTTATATACCTGCACATGAAAATATTAGCTCGTATGAATACTTACAGGTTGCGCACATGCAATACACACAGTACAACTCACCTCCACATACTGCAGTCAGTAATAATGATTGATATGAAATGACAATGACAGATACTTTGATTCATTGTGCATCATTTACATTGTTTTTAAGCTTGGGGAAAGAAGTATTCATATATATATATATATATATATATATATATATATATATATATATATAAGCACAAAAATCTGTAAAGTGTATATTTACCATCTCTGCTACAAGTTAAATCACAAGTTAGCCTCCAGATTAATAAATAAATTTGTACTTAAACAAGCGCCTTTGTTTTGAACATTAATGGACCTTTTTAAACATCAAAAAAACTCCTCAGGAGATATGATAAAATTTATTTTGTGAGATGAACCTTTAAAAAGTCATTAAACTGCAACGTTTCAGCTCTCACAGCTCAGTGAAGATCTGTTCTCACTGCGCTACAGAAGGGACCTCTTTGGGCTGTGAGGGTGGAGGCAGTGGTGGAGGACAGTTTGGTGCTTTGACTCCGTGCCTTTTCACAGGGGGCTTTCTAAAGCTGGGCTGCGGAGCTCGGGGTGCAGGCTTCGGCTGGGGCTTCGTGTCTTCACGAGCTGCGCTTGGGGCTGGAGTCAGGATTGAAGCTGGGACAGCGGCGGGGGGTGGAGGGGCCTGAACCCTCGGAGCAGCTGGGACTCTGGGCTTGGAGAACTGAACAGTGATCTGCTCATTGGGTTGGTCCACTTTCGCAGCGTTGAAAGTTCGTTTTGCTGTACGGCGAGAAAAGAAAGAACACGAATCAGCTAGATTATGAAAAATAAACGGCATCTACTGCTACAAAAAAGGTTACATCGTTTCATCTGGACCAGTTTCTTTAAGGGAGAAATGTTTCGTCTTTCGTTTGAAAGACTTCATCAGTCTGAGGCCTGCCAACCACATCTGTCCCATAAATAGCACCTCATTGATGTGTTTCAAGCCAACCTCCTGTTGAATTCACAGAAGCCAGCTTGTAACACACAAACAGAGGGCTGGCTTGAAACGCATCAAGGACGTGCTGTTTATGGGACAGATGTGGTTGGCAGGCCTCAGACCCTTAAAGAAACTGGTCCAGATGACACGATTTAACCTTTTTGTTGTCATCTACCTGGATGATTGATTGACTTTACAAACCCTTTACATCTACAGTTGCACAACCTGTAAAAATAAAATAAAAATATTGAATATCTTTAAAAACAAGTAGTCACTCTCAAGTCTTTTACCCTTCAAAATATAAAAAAAAACAACTTTGCGGTACCACTTCACAACAAGGCTCCCCTTAAAGATGCTAATAAATAATTTATAGATATGTTATTAATTCCTCTATAAACACTATACATCATTAAGAACTGCTCATTAAGCATTAATTAAGGGTGACAGAGACAAAAACTGACCAGTTTCTTACCAAATAATGAGCCAAATCTGTTCATCTATTTCATCTAGAGTTGTTATATTAAACATTTCAGACTAAGTTACTACCTTGTAAGCACAATAAACGTTTGTAAACCCATTTCTTTAGCATATAACATTGTACTTTATCACTGCATTATAAGTATCTACAACTAATATATTCAAAAAAAATTAGGCTTACAAATGATTATTGTGCTCACAAGGTAGTCTGAAATGTTTAAGATAACAACTCTAGATGAAATGTATACATGAACAGATTTGGCTCATTATTTGGTAAGAAACTGGTCAGTTTTGTCTCTGTCATCCTTAATTAATGCATAATAAACAATTATTAATGATTTATAAAGTGTTTATAGAGGAATTAACAACATAATCATTAATAATATATTTAATATAATAAACTATAAACTATTTATTAGCTATTTATAAGGGGAGCCTTATTGTAAAGTGGCACCAAACTTGGTCCCACATCAGCACACTCCCATAGTGGACCAACCAGTTTGCTGATGATAAGATGGTTTCT